TTCCTTCAGGAGTGCATGAAGAGTGTTGAGATGGTATGCGATAGCAGGAGATGGCTGAGAGTCACACCATCTACATGCAGTGAATTGATGATGCGGAAAAAGTTTACGAGGAGGTACTCAGTCATTCATTATAGTATAAACATCACTAATAATAAGGTTTGTAAATGGATTGCAAACACATTAAGTTTCTAAGTAGGCGTTAATAAGTGATTTATTAGAAATTGCTATGGTCGGCGCATAATTTTGTAAGAACATTGTAAGAACAGCGCAATCAAATATGCACTAAAAGATCCTTATCACCTGAGAAAAAAGATCCAATGCATCATCGTGACTAATCGCCGAAATACATCATATAAAGCGGATATGTCCGGGATGCTATAGCATATATTGTTTCCTTTCAAAAACTGGATGGGTTTAAGCAGGTTCAACCCAACAAGAAACTCCAATAATCAAATCTAATATGAATATGGATTCCACAGATCAGCGACATCTTAGCGAAACCGATCGGACCCTTAGCGTCGAAAAACTTGATACACTTCAACGGGCCCTATCTGTTCATCCGATTGGTCTCAAGTCTATGATGTCTGAAACAAAGCTTTCTTCCATGACCATGAGAAGAACATGGTCAGTTCAAGATACGCCCAACGATAGTGGAACAGAAAGTGAAAAGGAAAATGAAGAGAACAAAAAGGAAGAATCGAATGATGAGCAAACCTCGATGCCTGATAGCGAGGATGAGGAAAAACCCCAATCGATCTTCAGTCGCAAAGAAAAGTATGTGATTGTAATTTTGGGTGGACTTTCAGGTTTTTGGTCATCTATCTCTTCACCAATTTATGTGCCTGCGCTTTCGGAAATAGAGTCTTCTTTCCACATTAATGAGGCACAGGCTAATATCACTATTGTGGTGTATTCCATTTTCCAAGGTCTCGGGCCAAACGTTTTTGCCAACTTGGCTGACTCCTTCGGACGGCGGCCCATCGTCTTAGCATGCCTCTGTATGTACGTTTTGGCTAGTGTCGGACTTGCGTTGAACTCAAATTTCGGTGGCTTGGTCGTTCTTCGTTGCGTGCAAGCTTTTGGTATTTCGTCGACAATTTCGCTTGGAAGTGGCATTGCAAGTGACATCACTGTGAGAGCCGAAAGGGCTTCTTTTATTGGCTTGACTACAGGGTTGGCCCTTTTGGGCCAGGCATTTGGCGCATTTATTGGCGGAATGATATCGTCAGCATGGGGTTGGAGAGCCATTTTCTGGTTTTTGGCATGTGCTTCAGGAGCAACTTTTGTGGTTATCTTCTTCTTGCTCCCAGAAACTGGACCTGCGATTGTTGGTCTTCGTGGAAGTATCTTGCCTCAGAAATGGAAGTGGATTTCAGTAGCTCCTATTATGCGTACAAGCCTCTTCCGTCTGAGACTACTGGAGGACTCAGAATCGCAAAAAGCGATGATACCTCCAATACGTAACAAGGGCCCATTTGCAATGTTCCGTACATTGCACATATTGACTTACCGCAAGGTGTATTTAACTTTGCTTCCGGCATCTCTCTGTTATGCTCTTTGGCTTATGATGCTTACGACTCTTTCGCACGAGCTCACGAAGCATTATGGCTATTCGTTGAATAAGGTGGCCATTGCTTACATTCCGAGCGGTCTCGGAGGTTTGGCTGGGTCCATTATTATTGGACGCATGTTGGATTACTCGTACCAAGTTTACTTGCGGCGAAGCCATAATTCTGGGGCCCGTTTCTCTGTCATTCGCTCGCGTTTGATAGTCTCGGCTCTTCCATCTGCACTTTGTGTCATGGCATCACTTCTTTTTGCCTGGACATTAGAATGTCATGGACCAGTGTACTTGGCTGTTATTGCTTCGTGCATTATTGCATTTGGTGCAATGAATTGGCTTACGATCTCCAGTACTGTTGTTGTTGACTTCAATCCAACAGAAGCATCTGGATCTTGTGCATGTGTCAACTTGACTCGTTGTTGGTGTGCCGCGTTGTTTGTGGGCGTTTTATCTAAGATGGAGCAAATGGGTGTCGGATGGTGTTACACGATGATGGCTATTTTCTGTGGAGTGGCAGCTTTCGGGCCCATGTACTTGTACATAGAAGATGGTAAGAACCTGCTATAGTTATGGCAAATAGAAGGTTAGGTAATAACGGTTTATGAATAGTTTAATAGAATGGTTAGTTATTTTTATTTGTGTATTACTGAGTGCTTGATGTCTATCACGTTTCATTTTTCGTACCTCAAGCGACTTGTATTGCTCAATGCAATAACCTCATCTTGAATATGAGCATTTGGTGAAGAAAACGATAGGCCAATGAGGATTTATTTAAAGCTATGTCAGTTACGAACTTGTGATTCCAATATTTGTTATAATTTTTGATTTTAATAGCGCCTAAGCCAGATAAGGCTTAAATACAAGCTCCCAACTCGGCACAGAATACACATTGCTTTAAGATAAATATGTATCTCGATGCTCAAGAAATAATATAGAGATCCCAGCTCCCAATGGTATGACCGTGATATTTGATTTCTACAGCACTCTCTTTGGTCTCAGGAATAACCACGATAGCTCCATCCACGCAGAATCGTCTTTGACTAAGTGGTAGGTTTGCGCCCAAAGACAAAATCACATTTTCTGACTCCTTCACTTCCTCATAAAACACGTTAGGGATATCCACATGCTTTCCACCAGCATAAACTTTGCCCATAATGTCCATTATATACGAGTCGTTCTCTTCTGTCTGGAAAGCCACCACATATAAACTGGAATCGTGAATGTTTCCTCTAGGCAGAATCTCGAAAGTTGGCTCAAACCTCTGTGCTGGAGTAACCACAAAATACGCTAAAGGTCCTTGAAGCGCTCTATCGTTTCCAATAGTCACATCACCACAATATTTTTGTGGCCGTGTTAAATTATTCTCTGCAGCAATCTTAAAGCGATTGATCCCATGCTTGCGCATTTCATCCGTGTCACTATCAGCGACTAATGAAGTATGAAACGCCCAAGAGGCTACTACTACGAAAAGAAGGCGCCCTTGAAGTGTTTCTTTTAATCCATCATGGTGTAGCACTTCGGAGCCAGACGGAAATTCAACCAGATACAATTGGAGAGGCCTTTTCACCGAAGCCAGAAGGATGCACTTGACTGCCTCTTTTTCCTCCCCACATCCATTGGAAAGTGCTAGTGCATTCCCTGTTCCCTCTGGGACGGTAGCAATATAAATTTCTCCCTTTTGATCTTTGTTGAGGCTATTGACAAATTCGTTCACCGAGGTGTCACCGCCTGCGATTATCACCATTATCGGTACTCCACTATCTTCGAGTGACAGTGCAAAATCTCCGATGGCATGTCGGGAGTCTGTCGCTATGTATGTGTGGCGAATGTCAAGAGAGTCAAAAATTGGCTTAAGAATCCGCCCGTAGACTCCGTTTTGCAGCGTCCGTAGACCCAGGCCGGATCTTATGGAATCTAAAACATACACCTGGCATTTGAAAACAAGCGCCAGTCTCAGAATACACGATATTCCTTCTGGTGGAGAAGAAGCCTTCTGTATGCTAGTTCTGCCACCGCTTTCGAAGCTAATGAGATGTTGCAACTCAGGATCGTAAAGCATAAATTCAATCTGTTTCTTCAGATATCGTCGTAACGCAATTGAAATGAGATTCCTAGGTCCGAAGGGTGGCAAGTGGAGGCAATATTGGGATTAAAGAGATAAGTGCGGATTTCTTGTGGCGTACATGAAGGGCTAAAAAACCGAGACATAGGTCCAGAAATATAGCATTAGAGATTTACAAATATGTAGGCGTACGTTACAGGATAATGGGTATATTTGACAAGTAAACATGCATTAATCTCTTTTTCAGAGGTTGCGGATATCTCGCAAACTAAATGTATTGTACATTAACGTCTGTAGCCAGACCTGCCGCCACGGTTAGATTGGTAGTTCAGCCGACCGTGAGTATTTTGGTTGTGATTGGAGTAAGAGTGGCTTCCATACTGGTCTGTCCGGCTTTGGTTTTGGTGGCCATATTGACCCTGGTATTGGTTGTTTCCATATTGGTTGTTTCCATAGTTGTTTCTATACTGATTTCCGTATTGGTTTTGGTTTCCATACTGATTCCCGTATTGATTCTGGTTACCGTATTGGTTGTTTCCATACTGCTGGTTACCATATTGGTTGTTACCATAATTCTGGTTGCCGTAGTTTTGGTTCCCGTATTGATTATTGCCATAGTTTCCGTATTGGTTTCCATAGTTATTTCCATAATTGCTGTTTCCATGGTGATTGTTCCCGTAGTGCTTTCCTCCGTAGTTGCCGTTTCCTTGACTATGGTTACTTCTGCCTTGGTTCCTCGTCTGGTTTGCGTTCTGCCCCATCTCAAGTAATGCTCTGTAACCGCCACGGCGCATTGAGTACATGAGGAAATCCTTTTCTCCGCACGGTCCATGATTCACATAACTACTCACATTCTGGAAGTTGTAGTTTGGTCTCAGGCGACCGAGAACTGTGTATTTGTCCAGTTCATCAAGCACTTTTTCATGTGGTATGTATCCGTTCAATAACATAGACTTACCTGGGTACAGTTCTGGAAAGTCGTACCAAGCCTGGAAGTAAGCAGAATTGGGAACGTTGGGCAACTCACCTTCCTTCAAAGGGAACAATGTTTCTCCATCTGGCGAAAAAGATAATAAAGGGCGTATTTTGCCAGCCAAGCCTGTTCTGTGGGCACCGAATGAAATCTCACGGTCCTCCTCACATGCTTGGATAAACTTCTTGTAGTTCGCATTACCACTTGAAATGAACAATTGCGCTTTTTTGTTGGTGTTGCGCTCTCGCTCATCATCCGTTAATAGGGAATATTTTGCTCTAACTGCAGTAAGCAAACGTTTTTCATCAATGAACGGCAACAATGCAATACCCTGCCAGCTCATTTTAGCCCCATTCATATCAATTTGGAAGGTCTCAGGGTAAAAGTCGATAATCTCACTGTCTGGATGAGACATTAAGCTGCGAAACACTTCTGGCAACGTGTGGCCGGACGCAGCAGGCAAAACAGCCATAAGTTGCTCATACGGATTGAATGGTTCACCCAAAATCGAATTTGATTCCTTCCTCGCCCACGATTTCACGTAGATTGGTGAAATCTGCAGCAAAGGGGGCGTAGTGGTAAGGAAAATACCATTGCCACGAGGGACACCCTTGGTAGTAATACAATAACACCCATGAAATACCTTCCAAGTAGGCGCGGACAACTTTTTTACGAATGTCGGCAACCTCTTCTGGCGAAGAAGCGCCGAACTTAGCCTCATAGTAACGGTCTCTGTATCCCGCTTCAAGATAACGCACGTCATCTAGGGCACGTTTGCGAGATGGTGGTTCTGCGGAGTCTGCCTGCTTAATAGAGTCTGAAGACTCCGTTTTAAGGGATTCCATGGATTCACTTTTAACAGAATCCACATCTTCACCTTTAATGGAGTCAATCGGTTCTTGCAGCTCGAATTCCAGCTCCTCTTCGTTCTTAATGCTGACGTCACTGGTTTCTTCTGATTTCCCAGTCGCGCCACTTGCCTTCGCCTCTAGCAACTTGCGGAGCGCCGCAGCTGCGTCCTCGTTCGCCATGTTTGCTTTGGTAATGACATCACGGTTGTGCACGATATCCTTGTTGGACAACTGCGCATACCCTTCTACCAAATTTCCCAGCGTATCCATCAAAGGCATATTCGTGTCTGCGTGTACCGGTGCACGCTCACGTCCTTTAGAGACATTAGGCAAGAACTGAGCACGCATAGCCTTCTCTTCAGCTTGGCCCACCTTCCTCCTCTTTTCGTTGTTGGCATATCTTCTTTCGGACTCGTGCCTCTTGCGAAGTATCTCATCTTCTTTTGTAGCTAAAACTGCCAACAACTGCTCGACACCTTCGTAATTCAACTTTCCATCACATGTAATGTAATCACGAAGACGGGGGATTACTTGTTTCCAGCATCCAACCAAAATATCAATACCATTGTCCCGAACACTCAAAGAGGGAAAGTGGGGCAAAAAATCATTACCAACGAAAAAACACATGAATACCCAGTCGTCGATGGCGCGCTCCAAAGTCCCACTGCATCCGTGTACGTTGGCGCAACTCCACCTCCAAATACTCACGCAAAACATTGACATGAAGCCATAGGAAGGGCTTTTTTGCATCTTGTTCTGCAATGGCATCTCGCTGATCCTGTGTTATTTGGAGCTGGTCAGCTACTCGCATGCGCCCATTGCCCTGCGCGAAAACATCTTCTCTCAAAACTCGGAAGTGTGGTTCATGCGTTGCAAGCCCTAAGAAAATAAGATCAGCGTCCAATCCATAAATACAGTGACGAGTATTAGCGTCATACTGTGGATCTGCACGTTGCGACCGAATGAAACTCATGAGCTTGTGTTCACCTTCTCCAGGAACGGTGGCATCACTCACAATGACCTGAAGATCACGCCAGCCAGGGTCCAGCGCAAGCTTGTGCGCTACCCAGTACCGGAGTGCAAGTGCCAAGCCGTCCATAAATGGCGTTCCGGGTGTGATGGCGTTGGTGTCCCAACTTTTCTTGCCCTTGATGGCATCGTCTATAGCCTGGCCACGCGCCTCGAACTCACGGATCTGGCGCTCTTTTTCCTCAGCAGCTGCCCGAGCATCTTGTGCAGCGCGAAAACGACGAGCCCGCTGCTGATTCATCTTGGCCCGGGGCGCAACTCCGTCCACAGCTATCATCAATACCTTTCGAGGACGAGCCATCATGAGAACACGCTCTGTATATTTAAAGACATCCAAAAACATTTCATCTTCCGTCTCTGGGGCTGGCTTGTGCTCGGGATGCGAACATGGGTGAACTATACCGTTCATGTCCAAGTATAAATTGTCAAGCTCACCATTTGGATTTGGGTCCAGATATTGCGGGACACGTCCAAATTGCGGATCACCCACATCTTCAACCACAGGCGAAATGATTTTAGGATACTTTCGGGAGATCCATCGAAAAAACGCTGGCACTCCCATAGTGTAGAGAAGAGCTTTCTTGTTGGTGGTCGCGAAAAGGTTCTTGACTGAGATGGACTTTATATGGAGGAGAGAACCATGTTGAGAACTAACTACGCTTTCTACTTCACAAAAAAGATGAGAGGATAATTAGAGATGTGAGACCAAAGCAAACGAATAAATGCAAACCAACATGAAAACCCTATTCAAGGGTCTGAAATCACTGAGAGACTCAAGATATCATAAAGTGTAGACTATATATATAACAGACATTTGACCCGTTTTGATGGCGAGTACTCAGAACGGTTGATAGCTCGAAATCTACGAAGTTTATAGAAACAGAGTATAAGGTTACTAGGGCCATCATGAGAACACTTGCAATACAGGAACCACAAAATAGCCAAGCTTCATGATCTGCAAATCGCGGCTTTCGTAAGAGCGGTGGTATCAATCATACGGAGATTGTTTTTAAATAGTTTAGGAGTTTGGAAAATCGTAGTCTTAGACTTGGCGCCCATGAAATAATAGTCAACCTGTTGAGTGAAAATTTCAAATTGTTCCAACACCTCTGTTAGCATTTTATTCGGTAAATGCTACAAGAATTTTGAACCATTGGGAAAAGCGATAAATTAAACAAAAAAAAAAAAAAAAGGAACAATAAATCTCATTAGACTCCTAGAGATGTGCACTTTGTAGTTTTAGGAGATCTAGACGAATGTTAGTGATCACTTCCATAAGAAAAGGGATTGAGATTTTAAGTTTAAATGGGAAGGAATCTATTCAGTAGAATGTATTGAGATGTGATAAATATTACTAACCATAAAACTAAGTTCTCGAACGAGAATAAGAGATGTAGAAACTGAAACAGTTTGAGCAGAAAATTTAGAAACACTTTTAAGCTTCATGTTTCATTGCCTATAGACACTATTTCAACAATTTACCATCATCATCGCCCTTGTCCTCATGGACGTCATTGATGTCTTCGACGTAATTCAGGGTAGGCTTGGGCTCGCTTTCATCGTACACCATACTTCCGTTGTTGTAATGGATTCTGTTGAGCTCGGAGTGATCTGGACAGAGTTCTGGTCCACGTCTTCCGATCAAGTACCATGGCAAGTTGAAAATCTCGTCCATACTTTCCAAAGACCGTCCAGCGACCTCAGGAACAAAGAACCACACCCAGAAAAGCGAAACAGCCAAAACACCTGAGAACAAGTAAAAGGCACCATAGGCTTTCATGGCGATCATCATTTTAGGAAGGGCCTTGGAGTTACCATATTGATTAGCAAAATGCAATACCATGACCATTGATTGAGCAAGCGAACGAATGTTCAATGGAAAAATCTCAGAACCTAAGAGATACTGGATCGAATTGAAACCCATGGTCCAGCCACATCCAGACAAAAAGATAGCAGCCAACGCACCACGAGATGCATTTTTCTTCGATCCATGTAAGTTACCCGTTGTCTGTGCCTCGGGTACCACATTCATGAAAATAGCGAAGTAAAGTTCAGAAGCAAGTTGGAGTGAAATTCCCAGATACATGGCCGCCCTTCTGCCAAATATATCAACAATAAAGAATGCAGAGAGATAGGCCGAAACAAATTTGACCACACCTAAAACGGCTGTCATCTTCAACTTGTCAACACCCGTAATCCCCACAACCGCAAACAACTCTGGAGCATAGATAGTAATGGCATTGGAGCCAGACCACTGGCCCAAGACCTGAGCAGCTACTGCCACAACAAAAAATCGATAACGGTTGGCTTTAACCATAAGAAGTTCTTTGAGCATAGACCAAGCCGAATTACCTTCAACTGCCTCCTTCTCTGTCATGATCTGTTCGTTGATATCACTGATCTCTCCCACAATGTATGGATGGTCTTTGGGAAGGTTTCTGATCTTGGACAATCTGTCAATGGCATCATCTGGACGGTTGACCTTGATCAACCATCTGGGCGACTCGTAGCAAAACAAAAATGACATGATTAAAATTAAGCCTGCAAATATGATTTTCAAAGTCGTTGGTATAACCCACTGGTTGCGAGAAGTGTTAGAAATGTGTAACGCTGTTCCATAATTGGCAAAATACAGCAACATGATACCAAAATACACAGCACCAGCAAAAATACATCCACACAAACCACGGATTTGACGTGGAGCGACTTCTGATAAGTATGCTGGTCCAATAGTAGTAGTTTGACCAATAGCAAGACCTTCAATGGCCCGTCCAGCGTAAAGTTGACCCACTGAATGAGATGTGATTTGAATGATGGCACCAACAATCCAAATGCAGCAAACAAAACGCAAAGCATTGATACGTCCAAGTTTGTCGACTGTGTACATGGCCACTAATGCGCCACCAACTGAACCAAGCTGAACCATTGAAGTAATGTTAGACTTGCGGTCAGCCAATTCACTCGAGGATTTTGTTTTGTCTGCGAGCCCAAATTGCAGAATAAAAGACGGTTGGGCCACATTTCCTGAAATGTTTCCCTCGTCCAATCCTCTAGCTGCACCAAGAACACCAAAGACGAACACTGTCAAATACAACGTCCAGTTGTATATTTCTTTAGGTGAGTCGTGGTCCTCAACCGTCCAGCGGAATTTTTTCTTTTGCACTATAGGTGTGATTTTCTCCTTTACTGACACCTTCATTGTTCTCGCCGTTTCAAAAATGCAGTTAGATATTACGTTTCATTTAT